CTTCCACTAACAAACTCGTAAACTCGGGCAAGTCACTATGTTCTCTGCCTCCATGTTATCATTTATCAAGTAGTGCGAAGAAAGATATGATGGTAAGATTGATAAACTGATAAATTTGTAAATAAATTGATAAATATCAATTATAAATTATAAAAATTATAAATAATTGATAAATTTGTAAATAAATAACAAAATAAAGATTGACAAATTTAATGTAATAATTGGTACTTTGAATAGTTTAGAACCATGCATGTTGTTACCATCATACTGTTTTTCAAGGGTAACCTTGAAAAATATTTTATATTTTATATTCCAAGTTTAACTTATTTTCTAAGCATTTGTTTGACACACTGTTTATGTTGTTACTTAACTTATGTGTGTATCTTATTGCCGCAGTCAATCTACCTTTCTGGCTTGAGCTGTTGTAGCTAGGGTTGTAATGGTGGGTGGGACTGGTGGGGAGGGTTGGAGGGAATAAGGAAGAGGGAGGTAATGGTATAAGATACATTCCACTACTTGGGATTCTCTCTGCAGCAGCCTCCGAATCACAGGACTGCTGCCTAAATACTGATATTCCACCAAGAGGGCTGGGTTGGCCCTCGTACACACAATGTACATAGACAATTCAATGTCTAAAGAGGATGATTCTGGTCTTGTAGAATAACAGAAAAGATCCCTACACCTAATTAGTCTCCCCTGAAAAGAAAAGCCTAAATTGCATGAATCTTTATAAATTTTCCATAACCCCCTGAATTATTCTACCTTCCTTTTTCTTTTACCATTTCATAAAAATCTAATATGCTACATTCTATAGACCTTCTCTTCTCAAAATTATTTATTGTTGTTCTTGTTTTATACTTTATGCTATTTCATTTTTCATTTCACCGCCCTTAAACTTATAATAGCTTTTAAACTGACTTCTTTATTTAGTCATTATTCAATCCATTCTCCACACCAGGATTTCTCAACCTCACCAAGGCTGGCAGTTTGGGCCAGATAATTCTTTGCTGTGGAGGAGGTTCTCTGTGAATTGGAGGTCATTTAGCAGCTTCACTAGCCTCTACCCATTAGATATTAATAGCATTTCCTCCAGGGGCACCTGGAGGCTCAGTCAGTTAAGTGTTGGACTCTTGGTTTCAGCTCAGGTCATAATCTCAGGGTCTTGAAATGGAACCCCACATAAGGCTCCATGCTCAGCATGAGGTTTGCTGGGGATTCTCTCTCTTCCTCTCCTTCTGCGCCTCCCCCTGCTCACACATGCTTCACTCTCTCTCTCTCTCTCAAATAATAAATAAGTAAATCTTAAAAAAAAATACCACTTCCTCCAGTTATAAAAACCAAAAATTCGACAATGTTCCCTGGGTAACAGAATCATCCTCAGTTGAGAATGACTACTCAGCAATTCTCCCTGATCAATCTTCTTTTTTTTTTTTTAAAGATTTTATTTTTATTTATTTGAGAGAGAGAATGAGAGAGAGAGAGAGAGAGAGAGCACATGAGAGGGGGGAGGGTCAGAGGGAGAAGCAGACTCCCCACTGAGCAGGGAGCCCAATGTGGGACTCGATCCCGGGACTCCAGGATCATGACCTGAGCCGAAGGCAGTCGCTTAACCAACTGAGCCACCCAGGCACCCTCCCTGATCAATCTTCTTAAAGCACAGATCAGATTTTATCATTTCCTGCTGAAAAATTTTCCGAGGCTTCCCATACTATACTGAAAAATGTTCTGATCCTTCTGGTGCTGGCCATCCCTGTGTTTCCTAGTGTATTCCTTATTATGTTTTGTATCTTCTCTATAATTTAGACTGGCTGATCTATGAGCCAGTCTATCTTCAGATAGATAGATAGGCAGGCAGACAGATAGGAATTTTCTGGGTTTGGTGACTGTTCTCACCCATAGTTTCCCCCCAGATACCATGCCTGTCCCATATCCAGCATCATGTATCCACATTTTTACCTTAAAACGTGGTCCTGCCCAAACTTCTCCACATGGTAACTCAGAATCTCTGTTGGAATTGAGAAGGGTCTTTGCTTTACATGCATATTAAAATAGATTATAAAGTCACTGTAATTTGAGGTGATACCAGCATAGAAATAGTCAAATAGATTTGTGGAACAAAATATTGAGCCCAGAAACAAACACCCCAGTGTTAACGTAGAGACAATATATAACAAAGGAAGCATTTGTGTGTCACTGGGGACCAGATAGTTCATTAAAAGTTGTATGCAGGCTCAAGAAACAATTCTTTCAGAATGAATGAAAGTGTGAACTTTGTTCCACATACCAAAAAAAAAAAAAAAACCACAAAAAACAAAAACAAATCTTTTAGGTAAAATAAGTAAATATAAAAATAACATAATCTCCAAAATACTTACATATGAATAATCTCAGATTTAGGGAGATCTTTTTAACTTTTACAGAAAATTCAGCAGCTCACAGGGAAATTACAGATTTATTTTCCTACATAAAATAATCAAAATGTTGGGGTGCCTGGGTGGCTCAGTCGGTTGAGTGTCCAACTCTCGGTTCAGCTTGGGTCATTATCTCGGGGTCCTGGGATCACCCCATGGTGGGCTTTATGCTTGGTGGGGTGGTTTGCTTGAAGATTCTCTCTCTCCCTCTCCCCCTCCCCCAACTCACATACATTCTCTCTCTCTCTCTCTGTCTTTCTCTCTCTCTAAAATAAATAAATCTTTAAAAAAATAATTAAAATATGTGGCAAATTATATCATTTAAAAATCAATAGGCAAAGAGTAAATTAGGAATAGATATTTAAAGCAAATATTAAAGAATTGATATTCAGTCTTCAGATATGTATTACAAATTGATAAGAAAAAAAATAAGAATTTCACCAGAAATGAGAAAGTCCAGTTGATTAATAAGTATATGAAAACTTTCTCAAATTCCCCAGAGAAATGTAAATAAAAGTAACAGTGGGTTACTATTTCTCACTAGAATATGATGATGAAGTGTATTTTTACTTGGTGTTGGAGAAATTACAGACTTTGAAACAGTCTGTCAACATATTTTTAAAATCAAATTGAAAACTTAATTCTTTGACCCAATAAACACACTTCTGAGAATATATTTGATAGACATAAAGGTTATATGTACAAAATTGTTTATTACAGAATACTCTGTAGTGGCAAACACTGGAAAATAATAGAAAAATGGGAAAATTAACTATGACATAATCAACAATGGGTTATTACATAGTTATATGAACACTAGATTATTTGGAGGAATTTTCCTGTGATAAAAACTATATGCAGAGAAGTATATATGAGATAATCCATTTTTGTAGAAAGAAAGGCCAAGATGTGTGTGTGTGTGTGTGTGTGTGTTTTGTGTGTGCCTAAGGAGATAAATGAAAATGAACATAAACACACATTTTTATACAAAATAGTTTGGCTGTTACATAACTGCATTCCTTTGGGAAATTGAAACTTTCTTCTCCAGCTCCACATACTGCTTCCCCTCAAAAACAAAGGGATAAGCAATACAAACAGAATTAAAGTGCAGCCTCCACTTGACATCCCATTGAACTTTTGAATTATTCCCATTATATCTAAGTCCATCAAGTTGCCTAAGCAACATGACTATGCCCCTGTATGAGGAAAGGAATCTTGCACTAGATTTAACAGCACAGTCAAAATTTATTTATTCACCCTTTTTTTCAACAACAGTGTTTTCACCTAAAAATATTTAGTGTTGCCACTGAATCATGCAGTTTAGAGTCTAACATGATCAATGAGACATGGCCCTAGCCCTAATCTATGAGTAGATGCCAGGCACATGAGAAGATTATCATGTACCGAATGGAAGTCACCATGACAGGGGAATTAGAGTCCTGAGGGAGCCCGGAAGAGATTGAAAGCCAGTCAGAAACAAGCCAAGCTTATTTTCTTTCTATCCATTATTTGAATAGATCTTAGGAATTAAAGCCTTTGTTTATTTTGCAATGTGGTTTGCAGTGAATTCATCTTTAGTATATCAGTATATTACTGAGTTGAATTTCCGCAATGTTAATGTCATTTTAAATAACATGTACAGTCAAGATTTTTATAGAACACATTCCTTTGTTCATCAAATACTCCATTCCTTGTTCCTGGAACATCTAGAATTTGGGGAACTTTAGGTTTATTCATGAGAATAGTTATATATTTTTGTGTATGAAAAAAAGGATAAGGAATGAATTTTGTTTATTCATCAAAATGAAAACTTGTGCATGGGTTCATTATACTATCTGCATAGTATAATATACGAGTAATTTTCTTTTCTTAAAACTGAATCTCATTTTTACACGTGTGTGTGTGTATATATATACACACATACATGTATGTATGTATGTATGGATGGATGGATGGATGGATGGATGGATAAATAGATAGGGCAGCATGACCTCATTTTATACGTAACAGTGAATTTCAGTTTAAGAAAATTAACTCTTCCAACCAAAATGGGGCTGGTTATTTCTTGTTCACAGCCACATGCAGTTCCAAAGCTTATGAGGTTGGGCTTTTAAACTTTATCATGTCCTATTTTTAAATCCATAAATTTGATTTTGGAAAACCCCGTTAAAATATGAACAAAAAGATCTATGTATATTCAATATATTTTAAAATAACTTACAATTTCCTGGTAATTTAAGAGTTCATTTGACAAAGGCAGAGGTGGCTTCGTGGGTATGGGGTATGACCTTATAGTTGCAGAGGGACCCACTTCCAGGAGGACCCTGTGCTTGTTATAAGGCTTAGCTGCTGCTATTTTCACATTCCTAGTAATTTTATCCATGAAGTTATGTTTTGTAAGTGAAGTCCCCTGGGACAGTGGGGCATGAACATGAGCAGCCGCTCTGCACATACAGGTTCAGCCCTGTAGGCACAGTAGGCAACACAGAAGCCAAGGACTTGGCCTGACAGTGAGGGGCGGCACATATGCATGCCTCAGCAGTCTGAAATGCTGTGTCCCCCACGTGGCTGAGCCAGAACTGGGCCAGAATGCCAGTGGCCACAGCAACCCCCAAAGCAACAGCAGTGACTGTGGGGGGCAGGAGTGACTCCCCCAGGCCAGTAGGGACAGGAATCTTGGTGAGAGATGACTCTCAGTCCCAGGATCCCGTCCCTGCAGTATCTACACAGATATTGAATCTTCTGCCTCAATTCCAAGATAATACTTGGGGACCTCTGATGGTTAGCTTTGTCAATAAATTATTACAAAACAGGGAGGACACATGGATATTGCGATAAAGCATATCAGGGTGTTATTAGAATTATTCACAATTTATAATGTCCAGTTTTGAAAACTCCTGCAACATTGCCAAGCAAATATCCACCAGCCTAGAAATACGGATTAAATGTAAAGATCATCACATTTGATGAAAAAATAACACTATTTTCGTATGAAACTTTAAATGAGCCAATGATTAATAAAGAAGACAATTTTTAATTAAATTTTCCTTGTAATTGAAAATAAAGGAATAAAATACATAAATAGGCATTTTGGATTATAGGCAAATCATGAAACTACTTTTGGTTTCTTGCACAACCTCAGCGAGTTACAGGAAATGTCAGAGGAAACATTAAAATGTCAATGCATACATTTACATTTCAAAATTAAATTCAATATACAGTGTAAAGGATCTTTGTTGTGATGGAATTGTTCTGTATCTTCACTGTGGTGATGAATACACAGACTTATACATCTGATAAAATTGTATAAAACTAACTACTCACACAAATGAGTACCAGTAAGTTGGTAAAATCTGAATGAGATCAGTGGATTGTACCCATGTCAATTTCCTGGTTGTAACACTGTACAACATTGTCAGGATGTTACCATTTGGGATAAAAGGTGCATGGGTTCTCTATTATTTCTTATAATTTGCATGTTAATCTACAGTTATCTTACAAGAAAAAGTTTAATTAAAAAGTCACATTCATGAAACTAATTTGTATGAACAGTGAAATCTTTATTGAAAAATTGTTCCGTTAGAATCATCAGCTCCAAATGTACTAAAATTTGTATGTTAAATCAGAAATTTATCTCAATGTTGTCACAATGTATAAAATACTCTTAATAGCCCTAGTAACAGTTGCATCAACAGAAAGATCTTCCTTAAAATTTCTCAAAAACTATCAGAAATTATTTATGATCTTGCATTAGCCAAAACAAATGATGTCATTTACAATTTTATAATTGAAAATGAAATTGCTAATTCTATCAATTTTGAAGACCTAAGGAATGAATTTGCAGAAAATTAAGCCAGAAAAATTATATGATCAATCAATATACCACAATAATACAGTTTTTCTATTTATTGTATTATATATAATTGACACAAAAATGTTATTCTTTGAAATTTATAAATTTCTGTTGTTACTCATCTACCACTATTACTATTATAAGTAACAAAATATTTTTAAAGGGAAAAAATTATGTATTATTATCTTTAACAGCACTTTTTTGTCCCTACATTTTGAATGAAAGGGCCCCAAATTTTCATTTTGCACCGGGCCTTATAAATTATGAAAGTCTTGGGCCATGAAGTTTGATACAAATTGATCCTAAGAATCCTTTGAGTTTTATCAAAGGGTAGATGTATTGCATAGCTTATTTTTGTAGAATTGAGCTTGGAATAAATTTTTGAAAAGACTCAAATTGCATGCAATAACTATTCTCAGAAGTCAGCTTCTTTTTGTCTAGAGGGTTTGCCAAGATATTATTTTGCTTATTTTATTTTATTATATTATTTTATAAAAAGCCAACAAGATTCATCCATCATCAGTCCTGACATTTGAATTCTCACTTACATTACTCTGAGAGAAGGCTTCAAGGAAGTCTTTCCATTTATCAGACCTGCATTTCCAAAGTATGTTTATTTTTCATTTAAGAAATATAGAATTAAGGACTATGCAAATATTTTGATTTGGATTTTTTAAAATCTAAACATTGTACTTTTGATAAAAATTCTTATACTTAGGCCCATCAGCTTCACATTTACCTGCAGTATTTCTCAGCTTGCAAATACATTGCTAGAAAATGACTAGATTGCCTAGAAACTTTGGAATGAGCCCATCAGCATTCATTCTTGGCATTTTTATATGACAGTCACACCATTGTCCCAAAAGAAATTTTTGTTTTAAAAACAACAAACCTAAAACTGGTGTTTGGGATGCACATATATTAACAGTAGATTATTTCTGTTTCCTAGTGGTAGGCAAGCTTTGAAAAACATCAAGTCATTTGAGTAGCAATGAAGTATCTGTGTAAATGTTCCATTACAAGGATGTTTCTCCATACTTATTCTCTAATGTTTTTGTGTCCAGGTCACATTCACTTTTTATTCCACTATTGTGATGGCTCAGCCTGTTTTCTTTTTTCTCTTCGGTTCCAGAATGACTCGTGGGGAAAGCAGTATTCATATGCACTCTTCAAAGCTATGAGTCATATGCTGTGCATCGGGTATGGAGCCCAGGCCCCAGTCAGCATGTCGGACCTCTGGATTACCATGCTAAGCATGATCGTTGGGGCCACCTGCTACGCCATGTTTGTCGGCCATGCCACAGCTTTAATCCAGTCTTTGGATTCCTCCAGGCGGCAGTATCAAGAGAAGGTAATTTGTTTTATCGCTAATATCTTCAACCAGCTAGTTTGCAAATCTAACTAATAGTGTTCAAGGTAACTAAACTATCATTTTATCAAAAATATAAAGAAATAAAACATATAAAGCAGGAAAACACAGTCTTTGATATTTTGCTGTTTCTTCAAGATGCTTGTCATAGCTGTCATTTGTTACCCATTTCTTTCTTGAATAGCCCTTTTTTTAAAAAATCTGAATTTACATTCACAGAAAAAATAGTTACATGTTTGAGAATGCATGAAGCTGATTTAAAGCATTACCATCGATCATGTTCTATCATATTTCAACAGTTAAAATAATATGCAGCCCTCTCTAGTATATGTTAGGAAAATATGTTAGAGATTAAATGGAACTAGGCAGCCATTGCACATGTCCCTCTGTGTTTCTCTGCATTATAATCATAACTTATGTTAAAATCCATATGCTTTGCTGAACATATGTTGCTCTTCTATCTAGATAAGTCACCACACCCTCCAGTCTTAAAAATGCATATTAACAGCTGCTATCATGCGTTCTTATGCACGATGTATTAATTAAAATGATTGCTGCTCTAAACTATTCTCAAAAGAGAGAGGAAAAGTAAATATATGCAATGATATATTCATTGGATTCTTTTTTCATATGCGGAATTATTTTGTCTGGGGCTAAACCTTTGGTAATCGGACAGCACGTGTATATTTGACCAAACATCATTAACTTTCCGACAGATAAATAAGAATATTTCATAACTGAAGGAAGGATTTCTAATGTAGAGGTTTAGCTGTACACCTTGCCAAAGAGGATGTCTGAAAGTAATGATTAAAAGAGTTCTAGAATACTTCTCCTAGTGAGTGATAACAGGCTAGACTCTTAATTACCTACAAAATAGCCAAAGATTGTTTAAGTTGTTGCTTTATTTACAAAACTTTTCAACATTATAATCACGTAATAGGGGAAAAGGAACCCAGATTCTTTATTTCCCTTGAATGTAATTACACTGCCACCAACTATTGCAATGAGCAAGTTGGTATTTTATTACTGAAGTAATGAAAGGATGAACCACCAAAATTGCTTTGAGGTACATTTTAAAATAAAGCCTTCAATTAAATTAGAAAGAACAAAGCACACAGTAAGAGAGAGAAGACTTTATACAATGTTGACTTGGACTGAAAATTATATACTCAAAGGAATTTGGGCTCGCTTTATGGGGATTTAAGGTAAGACTACAACAAGGCATATGTTTCTCTTATATACTATTTTTTCTCTTCCAGTTGACATTGCCTTTTTTTTTTAATTTTTAAAAAATTTTATTATGTTATGTTAATCACCATACATTACATCATTAGTTTTTGATGTAGTGTGCCATGATTCATTGTTTGTGTATAACACTCAGTGCTACATTCAGTATGTGCCCTCTTTAATACCCATCACCAGGCTAACCCATCCACCCACCCCCTCCCCTCTAGAACCCTCAGTTTGTTTCTCAAAGTCCATAGTCTCTCATGGTTCATCTCCCCCTCCGATTCCCCCCCTTCATTTTTCCCTTCCTACTATCTTCTTTTTTTTTTGAACATATAATGTATTATTTGTTTCAGAGGTACAGGTCTGTGATTCATCAGTCTTACACAATTCACAGCGCTTGTATAGCACATACCCTCCCCGATGTCTATCACCCAGCCACCCCATCCCACCCACCCCCCACCACTCCAGCAACCCTCAGTTTGTTTCCTGAGATTAAGAATTCCTCATATCAGTGAGATCATATGATACATGTCTTTCTCTGATTGACTTATTTCGCTCAGCATAATACCTTCTAGTTCCATCCACGTCATTGCAAATAGCAAGATTTCATTCCTTTTGATGGCTGCCTAATATTCCATTGTATGTATATACCACATCTTCTTTATCCATTCATCTGTTGATGGACATCTTGACTCTTTCCATAGTTTGACTGTTGTGGACATTGCAGAGGCATGTACCCCTTCAGATCACTACATTTGTATCTTTGGGGTAAATACCCAGTAGTACAATTGCTGGGTTGTAGGGTAGTTCTATTTTCAACTTTTTGAGGAACCTCCATACTGTTTTCCAGAGTGGCTGTGTCAGCTTCCATTCCCATCAACAGTGTGGGAGGGTTCCCCTTTCTCTGCCTCCCCGCCAACATCTGTCATTTCCTGACTGGTTAATTTTAGCCGTTCTGACTGGTGTGAGGTGATATCTCATAGAGGTTTTGATTTGGATTTCCCTGATGCCGAGCAATGTTGAGCACTTTTTCATGCGTCTGTTGGCCAGTTGGATGTCTTCTGTTCATGTCTTCTGCCCATTTCTTGATTGGATCATTTGTTCTTTGGGTGTTGAGTTTAAGAAGTTCTTTATAGATTTTGGATACTAGCCCTT